ACTTGCAGTAGTATAACCTTGTATATTCGAAACAATTTTGTCCCAAATGCGTTCCTTATGTCTTGGATCTCTTACTTGCTATAATACTTTTTTATTTTTTTGTACATCACTTTGCGCACTCCATGTTGCGGCACCTAGAGCTCTTCCTAAATCTGTAGCTGTTTTATCATTAATGGTACATTTTGGTTCAATAATCTTTACCAAGTTAACATTCCCTAATCTTAAAGCAAGTTTAGCAAAAAAAGGTCTATAGATTTTGTGGATGTTTTTGTATTAAGAAACATCTCTAAAACAGGAACCAAACTTACTAAAAGACTATTTTTTTTTATTTTTATCAGTAGTTTCTGCCGTATGTAAAATCCAGTGACCTAAAATTTTAAGTGCTTCACTTGCATCATTCTTATGCATATCTATACATTCAAAACTTGACTTGGTTCTACATTCTACTCTCTCATAAAAATGCCCTCCATAAGTAGTATAGCATTCAGAACAAACATACCGAGACCTATATTCTGCTTGTGAATTATCATCAAGTATCTTTGATTCTTCTTCTTGTCCAAATACAGAGCAGACTATAAGCCCAACACATGGTATTTGTATGTTTTTTCCAAAAACATGTTTTGAATATTGTACACATGTCTTACCTCTACTAAAAAAATATTTAGATTTGTTACAAAATAAGCAATGTCAGCAAAAGACCCAACTCTTTTCAATAGATCATTTTTGTTTAGCATTTGGGCAATGTAATTGGTTTTGGTCAAAATTAAAATGAGATTGGCAGATGCCTATTATTGGAAGTTTGTCCTCACTTTGTGCCAGGTGAAAAATCATTTCATCAATTTCCCAAGAACCAACAAGTTGGGCAAGACATCTTTGTTTTGGTGAGTAAGCTAAGCAACATTGAATACGGCCATCATTAATATCTATTATTGGGCATGGTGTTAATATTTTATTACTTTTTTTTAATATTAGATCTTCAATTAAATATTCATTTTCATTTGAACCAGACATTGATGACACTGAATCAAACTCTGACAAAGTTAATATATCATTGCCATATATATCAATATCATCGTTATCCATATTATTTAAAAGAATTAAATCATTAGTTTCTTCTGCTTCTGCCAAGATTTGTGCTCTTTCAAAACTGTCTTCGTCAAAACAAAAGTTATTAATCTCTAGATCAAAGTCTAATATATTATCGGTAGTACTTCCTGTTTCAATTCTATCTGATATAAGACTTTCGCTTGCTAATCACATGCTTTCAATGTCTTTAATATTATTTTCTGGTACATATTCAAAGTTACTAATTAAGTCATTAAAAAAAGTTTTATTCATTGAATCATTTTTTTCTTCTGAATCCATGCTTATATTTTTCACAAAATAGCATAGAAGTAAGTATAATAAAATATAATAATTAAAAAAAAAAATTTAGCAAAAATTTAAAAACGAACATACTATTGATAAGTTTGTATAACTTTGGTTGAAGATTCTTTAAGAACTAGAAGCGTTACTATATTTAAAAGAGAATAACTAAAAAGAAAAGTAAGTAAAGCACTATTTATTTTAGTAAGATATAATAACATACTTTGCGTTGTAAGGATGTTCAAATATGACAAAGTTGCCTTAAAAACAATTTTTTTATCAAACAAATATAAATTTTAGATGTTGAATGATCGTTGATCTCTTAATTAATACACTTGCACAAGGATTTAGGGGACATATTTGTTGACCAATAGGTTTAAAACTAATATTTAAAGAGTTCGTCAAGAATTTGTAAATAATTTTTTTAGTTAAAATTTTTTTTTAAAT